TATAAATGTCTCTAATTTCTCATTCTTTATGGCTGAGTAGTACTCCATTTTATATAAAAAAAAACCACATCTTCTTGATCCAGTCTCCAGTTGATGGGCAATTGGATTGTTTCCACATTTTAGCTATTACAAACTGTGCCTCTATGAACATGGGTGCACATATATCACTGTGGTATGATTCTTTTGGGAAGATAGCCAGCAGGGAAGTAGCTAGGTCAAATGGGACCTCGAATCCTAGTTTTTTGAGGTATCTCCATACTGATTGCCACAGTGGTTACAACAGTCTACAATCCCACCAACAGTGAAGAAGGGTTCCTTTTTCCCCAAAGCCGCACCAGCATTTGTTATTGGTTGATTTCATGATAACAGCCATTCTTTCTGGAGTGAGGTGGAATCTCAGTGTTATTTTCATTTGCATCTCTTGAATGACCAATGATATTGAACATGTTTTCATGTATTTCTTTGGTATTTCTACTTTTTTATCTGAGAAATGTCTGTTCATTTCAAAGGCCCATGTTTGGATTGGATCTTTAAATTTGGGAGATGGGATTTTTTAAGTTCTTTATAGATTCTAGATAGTAGACCTTTGTCTGAGGAACAGCTGGTAAATTTTTTTTTCCACGCTGGGACTTGTCTCTTCACATTGTTGGTGGTTTCTCTTGCTGTGCAGAAGCTTTTTAATAAGAAGAGATCCCACTTGTTGATTCTTTGTGTTAGTTCATGTGCAACTGAGCTTTTGTTCATGAAATCTTTTCCTACACTAGTGTTTTCACGAGTCCTACCTAACCTCTCTTCCGAACGATTTAGTGTTTCTATTTGAATGTTTAGATCTTTGATCCACTTCGATTTTAGTTTAGTGTATAGTGAGGGATATAGGTCTAGTTTTAATTTTTGGCAAGTTGAAAACCGTTTATTTCAACACCATTTATTAAAGAGGCTATCTTTCCTCTAGTGGGGGTTTGGCTCCTTTGTTGAAGATGAGGTGGCTGAGTGTATCTGGAGTTGTTTCTGCATCTTCTAATCTGTTCCACTGATCCTCACACGTGTTTCTTTGCCAGTACCATGCTGTTTTTATCACAGTAGCTTTGTAGTATAGTTTCAAGTTGTGGATTGTGATACCCCCTACCTTGTCTTTGTTGCCTAGAATTGCCTTTGCTATTCTAGGTCTCTTCTTGTTCCAAATGAATTTTTGGATTGTTTTCTCAAGGTCTGTGAAGTATGCTATTAGAATTCCAAAAGGATTGCATTGAATATATATAGTAGTTTTGGAAGTATGGCCATTTTCACTGTATTGGTTCTTCCTACCCAGGAGAAAGGGATGTCTTTCCATTTTCTGATATCCTCTTTGATCTCTCTTTTCAGAGTGCTATAGTTTTCAGAGAAGAGGTCTTTGATTTCTTTTGTTAAGGTTGATTCCTAGGTATTTCAGTTTTTTGGATGCTATTGTGAAAGGAATTGTTTGCCCTATTTCTGTCTCAGTGAGTCTGTTAGAACTGTATTTCTCAAGGGCAAAAAAATCATATCAATTTTGGTTTAATAACTTATATAATTTATATGCTAATTTATTTTTTCTGCTTCACTAACCAAAGACTAGGAACATTGTGTTAACCACCTACAATTATTGTAGTTTCTACACTTTCTCTTGACATTTTTCTTCTCTACTGTCTCACTTTAACTTCCCTCATGTAATTTTTTAAAGTACAAAATTAATGTTTGCAATCAATTTATGTTTATGTATTTGTGTATATTTTTATGTGTGTATGTATATATAAAATCAGCCCTTTTCTCCTGCTTGAAGAAAATCTGACAAATTTAATAAAATTTACTTGAGCAAGAAAATATTCTTGTGACTAGGCAGCATTCTAGAACCAGCATGTTTAGAATACCTAATCCCCCTGCATATACGGGTTTTATTTATAGCCAGAGACAAGGAAGTGACCTACAGAAAAAATCTTATTGGCCACAGGTGGCATTTACCTTAAGAGGTCATATTTTGGCACCTTTTGTCCTCTGATTCGCTGGAGGTTCAACTTGTATGATTGAGATTCAGTTACTTAGTTACAAGGGTTAGGTTACTACTTGCTTGTGTATCAAGAAAGTTGTAGTTCCCAGAGGCCACTTTGGTCTAAACTTACTGTTCAAGTACAGAGGCTGGTTTAGCCCAAGTTTATTTTGTTTCAACACTCTTCTTACTCTTTGGGGGTAACAACTCTAAATCATTTAGAGTATATTCTTCCAGACCCTTTTTGTATATCTTATCATTTTATTAATTTTTTGACTGTCTTTAAAATATTATATAAGTAATACATTAATGTGTACATATACTTACATATAGTACATAGAGAAATGTAGCTTTTTTTGTCTTTCCCAGTACCAGGGATCAAACTCAGAACCTTGTGCTTGCAAGGCAGGCACAACACCACTGAGCTAAATCCCTGGCCCTGGAAATAGTTTTTTTTGTAGTACTGGGGATTGAATCCAGGGCCTTTGTACTGAACTGTCCGCCCCCCAGCCCCTTTTTCCTTTTTATTTTGAAGCAAGACCTCTTTAAGTCACTAAGTTGCCTAGATTGAGCTTGAATTTGTGATCCTCTTGCTTCTTCCTGAAGTACAGCTTTTTTATGGGTGTGGATTTTATGATATTTTTGTTTTTTGAGTGGATACTTAGATGGTAGTCATTATCTTTTATCTGCATGAGTTCTTCTCATCTGGTTATTACCATATAATATTCCTTTGGACAGTGTGGTGTGCAGAGTGAAATATCCATACCTTAATTCCCAGAACCTGTGGATTTGTTACCTGACATAGTAAATCAGCTAATTTACTATGCTAATCAGCTGAATTTAAGCCAGAGGAGCTATCCTAAACTATGATGAGCCCAGTGTAATCACAAAGGTCCTTATATGTGGAATAGGGATATAGAGGGTTATGTAACAAGAAAGATTAGGCTAGTTATTGCTGGCTTTGAAGGTGGAAGAAGCTACAAATCAAGGAAGCTAGAAAAAGCAAGAAAATGGATTCTCTGCTAGAACCTCCAGAAAGGAACACAGCCCTGCTGACTCTTTGACTTTTAGCTCAGGGAAGCCCATTTTGGATTTCTGACATCCAGATCTATAATCTAATAAATTTATGTTGCTTTAGGCCATTGAGTTTATGATAATTCATTATAGCAGTAATAGGAAACTAGTGCAGATTTCTGAGAAAATCAAGGCCATATTCCAGGAACAGATAGAACTTCTTGGTAGTTTTGTGATCAGAAACTTAATATGTGTATTGCTGAACTGTTTTATTCAACCATCTTCTGATAACCATTTGCCTATACAAATATACATCCATTTCTCCAGTGCATCTCATTGGTCACCTAAGGTTCCAGTCAATAAAAGTAGCCTGTACAAGAGAAGACCCAATGAAGTGAAGACAGAAAGGATGATTTCATCCAAGATGAAAAATTTTCTGTTAAAACCCTTACAAGAGAGACTGGGCTGTATTTGTTTTTTGTAAAGCAGGAACTAAATATTTTATGGAAATGATAGAGAATATTCATGCATTAGTTGAGGTGTTGAAGTAGGGTAGCTTTTATTGTTCTTGAATCTTACTGAGGGGCTGGGAGGAAGAAGTATCACTGAGGATTGATGGACTCTTTGTGTATAAATGTGAAGTGTAACTCAGACTGTGTTTGCCAAGCTGTGCATTCTGACTGTGGGGATGCTACACCTTTCATATAAAGTCATTATCTACTATTATATGTGTGTTTGAAGAATTGCATTCACCCAAAGGTACCCTTTTTTTTTCCCCCGGTACCGGGGATCAAACTCAGGTCCTTGCGCTTGTGAGGCAGGCAGCAGAACCACTGAGCTAAATCCCCGGCCCAATCAAAGGTACCCTTTTTAAAAAAAAAATCTACAAAGATGCTGTGTTGGGCCAGCATAAACTATGAGACTAGGACTATAGCAGAAAGTTTCTTCGAGTCACAGAAGCCAAGACAGTGATAAATTAGAAAAAAAATTAGAAAAAGAAAAGAAGAGGGTTATATTCCTAATTCTTTAATCCTACTCTGGCTTCTCTTATCCTGCAGTTGTCTTCCAAATTGTGCTATTGGTACTTGCCCCCTGTCTTAGTTACTTTCTCATTGCTGGAACACAGTACCTGACACCTATGAGATAGAGAAGGAAAGATATAATTTTAGCTCACAGTTTGTAGAGGTTTCTGTACATAATCAGTTGACTCTAAGGCAAGGCAGCATGGCAGAGGGGCATTGTAGAGGAGAAAGTCTATGGCAGGTCAGGCAGAAAACAAGAAGCAGCAGCATCGGTCCTCCCTTTCCCTTTTATCCCATTCAAGCTATAAGCCTATTGATGGGTGCCGCCCAGAATGGGCCTTCCCATTATCTACACCCAGAACTATGCTAATCCAATCAGTGAACTAATTTAGTTATCATCCTTAATCCATATTCACACACTCTAGAACCAGCCACCTCTGAAAAGCCCCACCTATGAGTGCATGAGGCTTTAGGGGGCACATCTAGATACAAGCCATAATACTCCCTGTCAGTATATTCTAATAGTATATCTAACTGGGAAAAGGAACAAATAAATCAATATACTAATAAACAAATCTGTGTAGTTTAGAGTTAAATAAACATGATCTCTTTTAACAGTTTACTGTAAAAGTTAGTAGTAAAAGGAGGGAAGCAAGAATCTATGTATTAGAGATTAAGGAAAGAGAGTGTGTCCACTCAAGATGCTCAAAGAGAAAGCAGAGTGTCTCTCTGGCTTGGAAGACTTGTCATCTATCCAAATATGTAAGGACAGATAATGCCAAGGTCCTCAAAGGCATGGGAGATATGCATAGGCACCTTACCCATCAGCTTCTGCATGACTAGCAGAGTCCCAGTTGGCCAGGACCATCCTTGTTGCCATAGATGGTTCAGGTAGTGAGATCTATCTGGAGATGGGCTCCATACACTATCCACATTCTTGTCCTCTTTTTGTATTCCTCCAGATGAGCTTTAATATGAGTCATGAGACTCTGTACTTGGCAGTGAAACTGGTGGATCACTACCTGATGAAGGAACTGTGCAGGAAGGACAAGCTGCAACTCCTTGGTTCAACTGCCTTTCTCATTGCAGCAAAGTTTGAGGTGAGTCTTGTGTCCTTAAGGTGTGGAGAGAATTAACATAATCAGGATTTCATTCCAAACAGATAATTAATACATATATGTATTTGTATGCACACACACACGTACACATGTACATGTATGCACATATTCTGTGTATATGTGTCTATCTGTGTTTATCCAATTATAGATACAAATAATATTTTCCTATCAAATTTTTTGTTTAACTCAAAGCTGGTACTGGTTGGCAGTGGTGGTGTATTTGTTTTCTGGCATCAGCAGAATTCTTTAATTTCCTCTTTGAAGAGATGTTATGTGTATATGTCCTAATTAAATGGGTAGTTTTTTTTAAAAAACCTCCTTCTTCCCCATGATTTTCTGCACCTCCTCCTTTTCTTGTACCACCTCCATCCCCATTTCGTGGTGTCTTGTTCTGTATATATAACGAAGCATTTCCAAACCATGGTGCTAGAGACATTCAAGAGAAAGTGACTTGGTAGAGGAGGCAGTGAGTCAAATGATCCAGGTGAAATAGTTATTTTTGAAGTAGTGGTATAAATGCCAGTAGCTAGTCTTTTCTTCATTACTATAATCCCTCTAGCTAACTTTTCTGATTCTTTCCCTTTTCCTAGGTGTTAACTGATCTTGTTCAACTCCCCTTTTTTCTTTATTCAGTGATGGTTATATGAAAACTTAGGGTTTGAGAGCAGAGAAGTAGCAACTTTGTTGAGATCAAATAATTTTAGAACTGTGGTTTTGTTTAATTGTGTGCTGGTATTAGAGCTTAGATCTAAAATGTTCCTTAAATATCTCACATGTGGAAGTGAGCATGGTTAGGGTGAATGAGTTACTGGGAACACGACTTGGAAGGCTGTATTATCATTCCTTGCTCCTGCCTTCTCTCTGCTTCCTGGCTGCCATACAGTGAACAGTTTTCCCGTTATGCCGTTCTACCATACCATTTCTGCTTTGGAGCCAGCTGGCCATGAACTGGATCTAGTGACATTTTGAGCCAAATAAATCTCTCCTCCTTTAAATTGTGGGTGTTGGGTATTTTGTTCCAGCAACAGAAAAGTGACTAATAGAGAAAATTGACAATAGGAGTGAGGTCATTGCTTTGACTAGACCTGGCTATGCTGTTTAAAACTCTTTGGAAATGGTTTGTGAGAGGGATTGGGGATGATTTGGAGACATGGGATAGAGAAGTTCTGAAATGCCGTAAGCATAGATTGATGGGAAATTCTGGTTGGAGCTAGGGAGACCAGAATACTAACAGGAATGTGCACAGACACCCTACCGAGGTCCCCAGTCGCGTGGAACACGCCGAATCAGCCCTCTGCAGACAGGCAGGTCTGTGCACGCCCTACCAAGGTCCTGAGTTGCGCGGAAGATGCCGAATCACCTCCCTGCAGACAGGCAGGTCTGCCCACACCCTACCGAGGTCCCCAGTCACACGGAACACACGCCGAATCAGCCCACTGCAGACAGGCAGGTCATGAGTCCCACAGAACACGCCGAATCAGCCCGCTGCAGACAGGCAGGTCTGTGCACGCCCTAACGAGGTCCTAAATTGTGCAGAAGACACCGAATCACCCCGCAGCAGACAGGCAGCCACCTGATTCCACACTACAAAGACGCAGAGGACACCAGACCACCATACCAAGGTACTGAGTCCCACTGTTCCCAGCCCAGAGGTAGGGGCTTCTGAGCCGTCGTCCCACTGCTCCTGGTCCAGAGGAAGGGGCTTCCCAGCCACCATCCCTCCCATCGCTCCCGGCCCAGAGGGAGGGGCTTCTGAGCCACCATCCCACTGCTCCTGGTCCAGAGGAAGGGGTTTCCCAGCCACCATCCCTCCGGCTGCTCCCAGCCCACAGGAAAGGGCTTTTGGGTCACCATCCCTAACCCTGCTCCCGGCCCCTG